GCCTAGGTTTAAGTCTTGACAATTACGTGTTTCTTAGGAACTCAGGAGGGATCTCCAGAATGGAAAGGGGATATTAAAATTATGGTATTAAAATCCAATTGAGAACTAGCTGAAGTCATGGGAAAGGCACTGTTCCTTAAAGCTATACCTTCAACAGGATATACCTACCTCCAGAATTATGCAAAAACCGAGAGAGAGAGAGAGAGAGAGAGAGAGAGAGAGAGAGAGAGAGAGGGAACAGAAACAGTCTTTACTTCCATGCACTGATTTAACTGGAAACAAGCAGGAAAAAGCTCTGGCAACTTAGATCAAAATAGTTGACTTCCTGGGGGACAAAGATGGAAGCAAAATCAGACCTAGAGGTAATGTTAAATATTAATTATACTTTCTGCATAAGCTTGGGCACATATAACTTTGTTTTCTGGTCCCAGATATCTCATCCTAGAAATAATGTCTTGTTTTGAGGTCATATCTGCCAGTATAACATTTTCTCATTAACATCCCCTCTCCTATTGTCTTTCAAATGTCATACTTTCATGTCTTATCTTGATAGCTTTCCTCAACCTAAATGTGGGTGTAGTCCCTCAAACTTTACTATGAATCTTCTGAAGAGTCTCCAGAGACAAAGGAAACACAGATATACATCCTTATGAAAAGAGAGGCACAAATTGGAAAAAAAAATAATATGAAGCTTTCTTTCTGTCTTTTCTCTGAAAAAGTAAAGAGACATGAAATTAAAAGAAAAGCCTTACTCCCATGAGTGGTGTTTTCCCTCCTGTAGGATTCTCCAAGTCAAACTAAAATGGATCATTGTATCCACGAGATGGAGGAGTCCCAATCTCTGCTTTCTCTAGGAGTGTGCCCAGAATTTGGGAGTTAAGATGTACACTTGCTTGGAATCCCAAAGTCTACAGATACAGAGAGAGTAAACTAGTCCTGGATTTATCTTTCATAGACTGGATAGTTTAGGATTCTTGTAAGGGGTAGGCTTTTCCAGAAGAGTGACGCATTCAAAAGCCAATTTCTAAATCTGGACCTATTCAATTAAACACAACTCTGTAAGTGCGAACTGTGATGTCATACATCTAGAAATAGCTTCAACATTTGGAAACACAAGCCTGTCTCTTTTTGGGAAGGTATTACCATTATTTTCACTGCATTAGGAGCCTTTAGGAATCACTTGGTTGAATTTCTTCATTCTTCAATGAAGAAACCTGGGATACAATAAAAATACAGAGCCAGGACTTACTACAAACCCAGATTTCTAAACCTGCACCTTCTTATTACAACACAAAGTTTCTCGAAAGTAAAAGCCCTTGAATCAAGCAAATTTTTTGGAGGTGCTACATTCTTACATTCTTTATAGTGAATACTGTTGGGTATTCAGTTAAACGATGGCATGAGAGAAATTAGTTTTAAAATAAGAACCACCGGACTGTATTCAACACAATGTTATAAATGTCCCACAACTTTATCTGGAAGAAAAACATTCTTAACTGTTACAGACAATCCTCTACCTACTCTAGGTTTTCATTTTCTTAACGCTGTACACCACTGGATCACTTCGTAAGTTGGCCTAATAATTCTATCTAGTTGTAAAATAGTGGTTAGACTCTATTGACTAATTTCAATGGCTTTTAAATGATCTATCTGCTCCATGTTTCTGAGACAGCTTCTGGCTACATTAGACACATAGACCCAGAAGCACTCTGCTTAATTTACCCACTCACAGGCATCCAGATCTGGGCAACTGGAGAACAGAGCTGTTTCTGAATCTGCATATTAGTTCTGTGGCATAATGACTGATGTCAGTTCCAACTTTGCCAAACATCTCTCATCACTACAAGCTGTACCCCATTCCAGACTCTTAGGTTTGCTCTCTCTCTTTCTGGAGCAAGATCCCTTCCACATATTTGCTGTATGGATTCAACAGTATGACAATCATTTTTGTTACTTAAACTGCCACTGCTGCAGTGGATAAAAATAACTTGTACTGTTGTCATTGCCTGATTGGGGGAGACAGAAAGGGAAGCTGAGAAATTGCAGTCAGATTCTGGATGTTTATCTCCCCATGTTTATTCCAAACCCACACTACTCTCTTGTCCTCAGTCTCCAACTCTTAATTCCCAGTTCAATGTGACAAATGTTACAATCAGAAGAAAATATCCAACTCTGTGCTGCACACATGGCTTCTACATTGCTTTAGTCTGAAGCTCTGTGAGGCTTCTAGAAGCATTATTTCCTTTATTGAATTGGAAAACTGGGTACTTTATTGCACAAAATAGTCCATGGCATGCGTTCTGTAAGCTTCTGGGACAGCTGAGGGAATGTAAGACTCAGCCTGGCAAGTAAACACACACTTAATACTAAGGTAACATGGACCAAAAAGAAAAAGAACTTATTCTAAAGCAGAGCATTAGGAGAGAAAGAATGGTCTACCCATTTCTTTAATGTTTTCCTTATGTTTCCTCTGAATGCTGCTTGCTCCTTGACAAGCTTTTCCTGCCCACTGTGTCCTCTAACACTTCTTTTCTGGGATGGCCCAAGAACCTTAGCTGCTCACTGGGGTTGTTTATTTACTTACATCCTAGGAACATATGTCTGCACAGCACACGGTGAGAAGAGAAGTGAGTGTCTGTCTGCATACTCATTTCTCTGAACTTTTTCACCAAATTGCTTTTTTATATGCCTTCTGCAGTCTCATCCCATCCGGCTCAAGTATCCTGGATTAGAAAGACAGTCTCTGGAGCCCTTTTCAAAGGGAACCTCCCATAGCTTTTAAATCCTCCTCATTTTAGGATGCAGATATTCTGGATCTGGGGTATTAAGCAAGTAGGAACAAAAATCTGATGGGGACAGGCACAGAGAAATACAGTGGCTTCTTTACCAGATAGTCATTATTGGAATGAGGTAGGCATCTGCACCTTCTCTACTTCAGAGTGAACAGCTGCCATTTATCAGTAGACATTATACAAGAGAAGGAGGGTGTGTGTTCTCCTTCCCTCCCTCCCTCCCTGTGTCCCTTGGTCTCTCTCTCTCTCTCTTTCTCTCTGTGTGTGTGTGTGCATGTGCGTGTGTGTGTGAGTGTGTGTGTGTGTATCTGCACGTCTCATGCAGCTCCTACTACCTGTGAGATGATCAGAAACCAGTTCTATCACAGAAAAAGGAAGTGTGTGGTAAATGGGAATTCTTAAAAACAAGTAAAACCAAATCATCCTCTTGACGAGGTTACTACTTTTCTCATTTATTATAGTGATAGGATGTTACACCTGTTTTCAAACTTCTAATACAAATAGGCAAAATAACAGACATTTATTTATGACTTAGCCGCAAAAAGCCAGCCTCCCAGATTCTGGGTCTTAAAATTTTGCAAAGAATACCTGTTTGAAGTTCCCTGACTTGTGCCCATGTCATTTCATCTCCTCAGTCCCAATCTTGGGGTGTGGAACAAACAGGTAAAAGACTTTGGAGATCCATAACCTAGGGTGCATTGAAAGACTACAAAATGAGACAAGTAGGGGCTATGACCTTTGCTTCTCCTCTGATTTATCCACGCATAAATTGAAGGCAATCCTGCAACGCTTACTTGGTTTCCAAGTGGCCTGCTTGCAATCCCACGTTATATAAAGCTTTGGTACTGTAGAAGAACCCTTTCCAAAACTGTTAAGTACCCTCAGGACAGGTTTACATTAAAAATCTCTTTGAGGCTTGTGACCTTCCACAAAATACTCCAGTAACTACATGGGCTTGTGCTACTGAGGAAGAGGTAGGAAGCCCAACAGTGGATAACATGTCAAGGCCTGGTCTCTTCCCTGGTGGTATTTGGCCTGGGAACCTGGTTTCCTCTGCTACTGCCAAGAGCCCTCCACTCCCACCCCAATCGCTCAGGAAATAGAAGCAAAAGAAAAAGAAAGGAAAAAAAAATGGACCTTTCTGCATTCCCCCCAAATGGGGGCAAGTCTTTCCACACAGTATTTCCAGTCACCCAGATGAGAAACCAAAATGTACAACAGATCCTCTCAAGAACATTAGAAGACAAGACAGAGCACCTAAGAGGCTAGCTGACTACTGGGGGAAGTGCCTGTAAGTAGGGACCTTCTGGAGCCACAGCAAAGGCTGGCTTTGTAAGAAAGCCTCAGTACAACAGCTTTTCCATCCGGAAGGTCCCAAACCCACACACCTCTGGGTCCTCCCCCTTGAGATCAGCTGAAACACCTTCAAGTTGAAGGGAAAACCCTATTAATATCCCTGCGACCACCCGCCCAGCATCCAACCACAACCACTTTCACTGAAACGGTGTTTGGGGTTGAAGGTGAGGGAGAAAGCAACAGAGAAACACCCAGAAAGACTAAGAAGAACTGAGAAGGAATCTGTAGCCAGAATCCCCGGAAAACTGGGGACTAGAGGGACTGGGTTGCCCAGGATCAGTTGTCGGAGTGAGGTAGGGTCTCTGAGTAGCCTCGGGACATGGCCACTAAACTGTGGTGAGCCCTGCCAGAGGCAAGGGACAACAGAGGCATTGTGGCTGGGGTACTTGGTACAGCTGGATCAGAAGCCCCTGGCGGGCTCACCCAGCCCCGGTGCGCCCACCTCGCAGGGTCCGAATTGTGCCATTGAGAGCCTCCCCAAACCCTCCTCCCGTTCTCCCCGCGGTCTTTGCACTGTCCAGAGATGCTCCGCCACAGACCCAGGACCCCTCAGGCGCCTCTTCCCATCCCTCTGCCAAATCGCACCGCCTGTACTTTTCCAGCTCCCTCTTTCCCTCTTGAAATTGAAAGTTATTGAGGTCGCTCGGGGTTGTTGCTCCGGCAGTTTCCTTCCCCGCCCCCGAGCTACCCCCGCCCCCCGCAGCCATCCCGCTCTCCCCCTCCTCCCTCCTCCTCTCCTCTCCCCCCTCCCCTCTCCCCCCTCCTCCCTCTCCCCTCCTCCCGTATGGGGTGCTCCCAGCCCTGCCCAACATTGGAGCGGCTCCTGCTTGGGAACGCCAGAAGCAGCTCAGGTCTCTCCAGCGCCCCTTGGCCATGGCCGCGGTACCCACGGCGTCCGCTCCCCTGCGCTCCCGGGGTCCCAGCCACTGTCGCAGTCGCGGCAGCCTCTGAGCCCCAAGGGCCACTGCTAGCCGGGATCCCGCCCGCAGCTGCCGCGCAACCGAGAGAGCTAACCTGCGCCTAGGAGGCTCCCGCAACCTTCGCTCGCGGCGATGACAGCCACCCTAGAGCAGCCGGCTGTGTTCGGACAATTTGAGAATGCAATTGTTGGTTTCCTTGTCCACGCGTCCCGCTTCGCTTGCCATCCCAGCACGCCTGTTGGATCTCAGTGGAGAAGTCCGGCTGCTCTGGTTCTTCAAAGCTCCGTATAGACTCGCTTAACATCCACACACATATTTCCTTAAAAGAACATTCAATACAACTAACAGTCAAAAGAAAAAGGAGAGAAAGGAGGGAAACATTATACTGGGTTACTATGCACTTGCGACTGATTTCTTGGTTTTTTATCATTTTGAACTTTATGGAATACATCGGCAGCCAAAACGCCTCCCGGGGAAGGCGCCAGCGAAGAAGTAAGTGCAAGGTTTGGGGGGGATTTAGGGTTTGTTTTTTTTTGGGGGGGGTATGTTTTTGCTTTGTGGTTTTGTTTGGGTTTGCGTTAAGCATTTGCTCGCTTTCACGGGCGTTCACCTGTCAGTTCGCTTTGCCGGCCGAGGGTCAGCTGCCAGAGGAAATAGTCTTTCCAGCCTACATTCTATGCTCCCGTAGGGTGCATCACAGTTCAGGCGACGGCCGGGGCATGCAAGCCAGTGCCGGAGTCCCAGCACCCGGCGCTAGTCTAGCTCCCGCCCCCTTGTAATTCGGGATCTGGAAACATTCGTTTCTTCCTTAGATCCGCTTTAGGGACTCGTGCTTTCTTTTTGAGGCTCCGACAGAGGCCCAGAGCCCCTGGCAGCGAGGACGCCTTGCCTTCAGGGTGCTTGGTTCTGGCGCGACAGGACACTGGCTCACTGCAACTCGCCGCCTGCCTGGCTCAGGCGGACCTCGGCTGCACCCCCACCCCCCACCCCCCCAGGCTGCTTTCTGGTAGTCGAGTCAAGCATCCTGGGGCGGGTCCGGGGGACGGTGAGCGAGCGTCTCCGCTGCCGCTTCCCACGACGCGCACGAACGGAGGAGAGTGGCGCGGGAGGGCACCCGGGCTTTCCACGACCGTCTGCAGACCTGCCCTATGTCCCACGCTCCCCGGTTTCCGGAGGTTTGGAACTTCAGTTACTTTCCTGCCTTGCACGTGAGCGCTCTGGCCACCTCAGGCTCTTTTTATGTAGGATCCCCCCACCCCCCCACCCCCAGACAGGCACCTAGTGAGAGTGGGGTGGCCCCTAAGCTCGTCCCCTCGCTGTTTCTTACCAGATACCTCGGGAGAGTGTTATGTCCCCAGCTGGGTGAAAGTCTGCTCTTGCTGGAACTAAATGGACTCCCTCAAGGCAGCCTCTGCCTAAGTTGGTCCGAGGCAAGCCTGCATCTTTCAGAGAGTCAAGAACAGATGTGAGGGTGGCTCCTCATATTTGTTCAGAGGTGGCCCCGCGCGCTCTTGGGGGTGTCCCCGAGGGGAGTCCCTCCTCAGAGCTAAGGGCGACCCCGGGTCTACGGAGGGCTCTGGAACCAGAGCTAGCTAGTGAGGGAAGCTAAGAGAAAACCTCCAGTAATGCTATTGCCTCGCTAGCTAGCTCGGAGCTGGGCGGCTGCTTAGCCCAGGACCTTGTCTGGTCTCCAGATGAGATCGCTTCTCTAAGTGTCCAGCCCGCAGAGCCCTCGGGGCAGGAATGCTCGCAGCTATCAGGACACAACAGCACTTGTGTGGGGTGGAAATTTAGTAATCTCCTCTCGCCACTGTTTGTCTCTGCCCTGGCCCTGGACGTGAGGGTCCCTTGAAAGCTCCCTTTGTACCACGGGCCCAGGCCAGACAAAGTTTGATTCACCTGAAAATTGCCTTTAAAAATCGTTGCTGGGAGGGAGCGCCAGAGGCTTGGAGTCCGAGTTGGCCCCACTGCCTCTAGGATCGCGTCTCCGCGCAGGAGGGCCTAAACTAAACATGTCAGGGCATCCGATTTATTATTCTTGGCCTCTGAGTGGTTTGTACTCTTGCAACCCTCCCACCCAGTCTATCGCTTAGGCCCCTCGGGCTGCCGCACATGGAAGCCACCGCCTGGGGCTCCGAGGTCCGCCTTGCCATTCCCAGCAAACGCGGTCCGCAGGGCGCTGGGTTTCAGGTCCAGTGGGAAAACCGCAGACCGGAGGAAGGCAGATCTTTTACCGTGCATAACGGGTGCCAGCCCTCGAATCACAGTCCGCTCCAACCTGGTGGCACCCCCCACCCCCGGCCGGGAACCACACACTTGCCAGGGTGCGGCAGGGTCCTGAGTGTCAGTGTCACCGGTATCTGGGTTTCTGCTTGAGTGTCTTAACGTTTCTGAAAGAAACAAAATAAAGCGAGGAAAGTCTGCAGTGCCTTTTTTTTTTTTTCCATCTCCTCACCACCACCACCACTACCCCTGTCACCAGAACCAGAGCTGGGAAACTTGGGGTGCGCACACATCTGGGCTGGAACTAGGGGATGGTGGGTGAAGTCTAAAGGAAACTGCTTTTCTCTCTGCCTGGGTCGTTTCAAAGCCAAGTCAAAGGCGCCCTCTGGTTGTGTTGCGGGGTTAAAAGAGGAAATAAGCGGAATTGAGCCGAAATTCCACTGATTCTATGAGAGCGGGTCTGGAAAAGCGGTCCTGCCAGCAACACTGCTGATTCACTTGAGTCTGCAGTTGCGGCTCGGTTGTTCCAGCAATGCTGGGAGAGGGGCGACCCCTTGCGTCCTCCCAGCACACAGAAGAACAATTTGGCAGGCGCATGGCTCTTTGGAGCAAGGATCTGAAGGTAGATCCTTGGTAATTAATGTCCAGAAACTCGAAATTAACACAGCATGCTCATAAATTCACCTGAAAAAAATGTTTTTAAATATCTGAATAAAAAAATCTCCTTAATAGTGACTGAAAATGTTTTGTTTTTGTTTTTTTAAGAATGAATAAGGCCTAGTCAAATTATTTTAAAACTGGTCAGACATCCCTATCTATTCCACACTAAGGCAACTTAGGAGAGCTGTTCAGATTCTCTCTTTGGCTTTGTAATAGTTTTCATAAACTTTTAGGAACATCGCTAACGACAGAGATAAAAAATTAAGGTTAAAATATTCCCTACAGTTTTTTTAAGTGGTCTCTTAAATATCTCAGAATCAATGGTCCTTGCTAGAAAGATTGTCATTTGCAGTGTGAAATATGTTCAGGTATAAAGAGCCATAGTTTGTCGTCAAAAACAGCCAACAAACTCATGCAAATACTCTTGTGTTCCTCAACAATAATCAATATTTTATTGATCTCTATTTGGCCACAAACCAGTGATCCTAATTACAGGCTACCATTTTCTCTTGAAAGTATACACAAAGTTTTAAAACTGAAGTCTTAGGCTTTTAAAATGTCTATGCAATTTTGTCGAATACACAAAACAAAATTTTTACTGATTTTGATTGACATACTGTGCCTACAGATGACGAAATAAATCTATTTGGGATAAAATGTAAAGTCTTTATTCTAAAAGTCACCAATCAGCAAGATTTTCAACAGCACAGCCCAGCTTTGGATGCTGAGTGCTAACTTCCAAAGCCCAAACCCTGGCTGTAATCTCATTTCCAGCATAGCCTTTGAAGTTTGGTAGAGTTGACCTTTGAATTTGGGTTGCATGTTAATCAAATGTAAACATCATCTTCATCGTAACAATCATAACTCCTTCCTAATGCATCACATTTTCACCTGGATTTTTCGTGTGGGGCCAGAAACCGTCACTTGAAGTGTAGAGGCTGGCATTAACCTCTCTTCTGCAGAGAATGGCTCTAAGAAACAGGACTCTACCAGAGAGCCTACCAGAGAGCCAGTCAATAAACTTTGTCTTCTCCCATGAAGTTACCTGACCTGTATGTATTTATACTATGTGCTGATCCCACCCCAGAGAGGATAGCAAGCTAATAGAATAATTAACTTGATGATCTTCAGCTTGTCATTTTCCCAATATGTTTAGACACTAGGCTGTTCTGCTTGACTGGGAGTCTTTATAAATATGGTTATAATGTTGACAAATGTCAAATAGTTACATACCAATCAGGGCTAGAGTCTCCTCTCAACAGAAAACATTACTGGATTATCCAGAAAGATCTGTAGGATGACACTGCCCCAGAGAGTTATTATCTGTCAGAAAAAGGATATCAGATACTATGCTCTTCAATTGTGTGGGCATCCATTAATTTCATCTTGGTTTTTCAGATTCTAGACCATGTATATTTTGGAAATTCATTATGTAACGATAAAAATGCGCTACTACAGCTTGTAGAGAAATATGAAAAAGTAGCAAGCATACAACAAAAACTGTTACAATGATAATACGCTTACTGGAATATGTTTTCCATTGCTTATGGCAGTGTAGCAGATGTTGAGTTAAGGTTCTCATGATCTCTTGGTGATCGTACTGAAGAGCCTGGTAAACAGGTTAACAGATAAAATAAGAAAACACCGTTATTTTGAAATATTAATTTCAATGTTTCATTTGGGGATTGGGAGTGACACATTTTTTTCCCCCTTACTTGCGTACCTTTGTCACCTGTATGCTTTAGTTTTGGGAAAAAATTGGCTTGAGAGAGATATGAGCAAAGCCTGTTGGAGAAAGTGCATTCCATGGCATATCATACGGTATGAATGCAAATCAAAGATAATTTCAATTTCCTAGGAAGTAGTGGCAACATAAAAATAGAAACAAAATGATTTGCTTTTCTGGGTTCCAGCTAAACCATCTTTGAGCTATGAAGTTTGCTTCCCAAAATACCTTGTTGCTACTCTATTTTAAGTCTTAGTGTTTCAGATTTTACTGAGCACCTTAAAAAGAGTGATTTGTAATACTGTCATCTTAGTCCAAGTCACTCTAAGAGTTGAGGACATGAGAATGTGTGAAAGGGGTCTACCACAATCATTTCAATATTCCTTTGAACACATGAAATGAACAGTATTTTAACTTGTGAGTAGATGGGCTTTACTAACCCATTTCTTCATTAAAGAGTTCCCTGGTTGTTAATGTTCTACAAATTAGGTCTCCAGAAAGCAATGAATTGAAATTACAACATGCAGTAAAATTTGATTTTCAACTTGTTAGAGGAAAACCCTGGCTACATTACGACAAAACGACTTTACTAGACATTTGATCCTTTTAGATTATTTGAATCTGTGTAGGGATCTCCAGATTGCTACTAAGTGTCTAAAAACATTTTCTGGTTAAATGCCTAATCTTTTTAAATAGGTGTAGTTCTTTTTGATCCTTCATAACAAAGCATTTCAGAACCTTATATAAAGTAATATCAAAATATTACTCTGAAATTACAAAAATAAATTTAAAAAAAAATACAGTTACAGATGCTATAATTGACTAATGTTTTTACTTTATCTCTCTTTAAAACACTCAAGTTAGGTATCTCCCTGAACTGTCT